CCGCGCGGCCGCCGCGCCCTCCATTCCCGGCGGTTTTCGCCGCCGTTTCCTCCTCCCCTTCCCCCCCTCCCCGTTTCTCGACGCGCTGATGACGTCACCGATGACGTCCCCTTCTCCCCACCCCCCCAGGTCGTGACGTCAAAGCCCCTTCCATCTACGTCTTCCCCCCTCCCGCCGAGCAATTGGCCGCGCACGAAACCGCCACCGTCACCTGCTTGGCCAAAGGCTTCAACCCCCCCGACATCTTCTTCCGGTGGCTCCGCAACGGCGCCGTCATCCCGGAAGCCGATTACGTCACCACGCCGGCCATGTTGGAAGCTCAACGCGCCACTTCCTACGTCGCTTACAGCTCCTTGAGCATCGGGGGCGACGATTGGGCGGCCGGGAACGTTTACACTTGTTTGGTGGGGCACGAGGAGCTTCCCATGCAGGTGACGCAGAAATCGGTCGACAAAGCTTCCGGTAAACCCGCCAACGTCAACGTCTCCCTCGTCCTCTCCGACTTGGCCAACACTTGTTATTAAACCCACCCCCTTTTCTACTTTCACCCAGCAAAAAAAAAATATCAAAAAGCAAAAAAAAAAACCAATAAAAAAATCGATTTGATAAAAAAATGTGAATTTTTTCCCCTTTTTTCACCTCTTTTCTTGCTGCTTCGACCTCCCAGAGTTCAAATTATTCCCCCTTTTGGAAAGTTTTTCAGGGAGGAAAGAGAGAGATTGAAAGAAACAACCTGAAAATGGCCAAAAAATAGGGATTTTGGGGGGAAAATGGCAGGAAAATAACGATTTGAGCTTAAAAAGTGCAATAAAGTAGCGATTTTCATTTAAAAATTGCAATAAAATAACAATTTCCCTCTTAAAAATGCAATAAAATAACAATTTTAATTTAAAAATTGCAATAAATTAGTGATTTTCCCTTTAAAAAATGCAATAAAATAGCAATTTTCAATTTAAAATTGCAATAAATTAGTGATTTTCCCTTTAAAAATGCAATAAAATAACGATTTTCATTTAAAAATGCAATAAAATAGGGATTTTCATATAAAAAATGCAATAAAATAGGGGTTTTCATTTTAAAATTGCAATAAAATAGGGATTTTCCTTTTAAAATTGCAATAAAATAGGGATTTTCATTTTAAAATTGCAATAAAATAGGGGTTTTCATTTTAAAATTGCAATAAATTAGTGATTTTCCTTTTAAAAATGCAATAAAATAGCGATTTTCCTTTAAAAATTGCAATAAAATAGGAATTTTCCTCTTAAAAATGCAATAAAATGGTGATTTTCCTCTTAAAAATGCAATAAAAGAGGGATTTTAATTTAAAAATTTCAATAAATTAGTGATTTTTCCTTTAAAAAGTGCAATAAAATAATGATTTTCATTTAAAAATTGCAATAAAATAGTGATTTTCCTTTAGAAAATGCAATAAAATAGGGATTTTCATTTAAAAATTGCAATAAAATAGTGATTTTTCATTTAAAAATTGCAATAAAATAACAATTTTAAGGAAAAAATGCCAATAAAATATCCATTTTAATTTAAAAATTGCAATAAAATATTGATCTTAAGGGGAAAATGGCAATAAAATAACAATTTTCATGAAAAAAATTGTCTAAAATATCCATTTTGATTTAAAAATTGTAATAAAATCTCGATTTACATTGAAAAATTGCAATAAAATATTGATTTTAATAAAAAACTGCAATAAAATATCGATTTTAATTAAAAATGGCAATAAAATATCGATTTTAATTTTTAAATGGCAATAAATTAACAATTTTAATTTAAATTTTGCATTAAAATAGCGATTTGAATGAAAAAATTGAATAAATTGGCAACTTTAATTTAAAAAATGGAATAAAATTGCAATTTTACTTTAAAAATGGCAATAAAATATCAATTTTCTCCCCCAAAAAGTGTTTTTTTTCCCATTTCCCCTCATTTTTCATCACTTTTCCAACCCCTGGAATGCAACAAACCTCACAAAAATGACCAAAAAAATGGAGTTTATGCTAAAAAATTAAAATTTTCCCCAGTTTATGTTTAAATTTGGGGAAAAAAGCAAAAAAACCTCCCAAAATAATATAAAAATGGCAATAAAATATGGATTTTCTTTTTAAAAATGTGATTTTTCCTCATTTTTACCCTCATTTTTTGGCATTTGGCACAATCAAAATATATTTTAAAATTAAAATTTTGCCTGTATTATCTTTATGTTTCATTTTTGGTTGAAAATTGGAGGTTTGGGGATTGAAGGATGAAAAATGATGGGGGGAAGAAGAGAAAAGAAGAGGAAGCCCTGAAATTTGGGGTCAAAACCTCGGATTTTGGGGTTAAATTGTGGATTTTGGGGCAGAAAAATCAGGATTGTGGGTCAAAATCATAATTTTTGTGTGAAAAAATCACCAGTTTAAAGGTTTAAATCCCAAATTTTGGGGTTAAAAATGGAATTTGGGGGTAAAAATTGAATTTTGGGGGTAAAAATCAGCAATTTGGGGGGTTGAGTCTCAAATTTTGGAGTTAAACCCCCAGATTTTGGGCTGAAAATTTGGGGTTTTAAAAAATAAAACACCAATTTGGGTCAAAATCTCCATTTTGAGGGTAAAATTCCCCAAGTTTTGGGTTTAAATCCTGAATTTTGGGGTTAAACCCCAAGATGTTGGGGTAGAAATCAGGATTTTGAGGTGTAAATCCCCAACTTTGGGGTAAAAATATCCAAATTTGATGCAAAATCCCCAATTTTGGGGCAAAAAGTCTCAATTGTGGGGGTTCTAACCCTGGATTTTGGGGCACAAGGCCAAGTTTTGGGGTTCGACCCTTGAATTTTGGGTACAAACTCCAAATTCAGGTAAAACCACAAATGTTGAGGTAAAAACTCCAAATGTTGAGGTGAACCCACAAATTTTGAGGTAAAATTGCCAATTTTTGAGGTAAAAATGCCAATTTTTGAGGTAAAACCTCCACATATTGAGGTAAAAACTCTAAATTTTGAGGTAAAATCACAAATGTTGAGGTAAAAATGCCAAATTTTGAGCTAAAAATGCCTTTTTTTGAGGTAAAATTGCCAAATGTTGAGGTAAAACCACAGATTTTGAGGTAAAAATGCTAAATTTTGAGGTAAAACCTCCAGATTCTGAGGTAAAAACTCCAAAATTTGAGGTAAAAATGCTGAATTTTGAGGTAAAACCTTCAGATTTTGAAATAAAACCACAAATGTTGAGGTAAAAATGCCAATTTTGAAGGTAAAATAATAAATTTTGAGGTGAAAATGCCAAATTCTGAGGTAAAACCTCCAGATTTTGAAGTAAAACCTCCAAATTTTGAGGTAAAATCACAAATGTTGAGGTGAAAATGCCAAATTCTGAGGTCAACCCCCCAGATTTTGAAGTAAAACCACAAATGTTGAGGTAAAACCTCCACATTTTGAGGTAAAACCACAAATGTTGAGGTAAAACCTCCAGATTTTGAAGTAAAAACTCCAAATTTTGAGGTAAAACCACAAATTATGAGGTAAAAATGCCAAATTCTGAGGTCAACCCCCCAGATTTTGAGGTAAAAACTCTAAATTTTTAAGTAAAACCACAAATGTTGAGGTAAAAATGCCAAATGTTGAGGTAAACCCACGAATTTTGAGGTAAAAATGCCAATTTTGGAGGTAAAATAATAAATTTTGAGGTGAAAATTCCAAATTCTGAGGTAAAACCTCCAGATTTTGAAGTAAAACCTCCCAATTTTGAGGTAAAACCACAAATGTTGAGGTTCAAATGCTAAATTTTTAGGTGAAACCTCCAGATTTTGAAGTAAAATCACAAATGTTGAGGTAAAATCTCCCAATTTTGAAGTAAAACCACAAATTTTGAGGTA